AGTCACCAAAATAAATATTTTCAATATGTGTGTAACCATATAAGGTTTGCACATCCGAGTTGAAAACGCCAGTAATAGGATGATTCCTATCACTAAGCTCTATGTAAAGCACATGTAAAGTGTTCCATGCAGAACTTGCAGTGTACTCACGTAACGGCAGGTAGCTGAACAATACCATTTCCTACAATGATATTAAACAGTGCTCTAGGTTTACATGCAGCGTGTCAGGTGCATTAAACCTCACTGAAATGCTGGCGTCTAGACAAGCACTAAGCTGGCAACCTGGCAATGCTGTCAGCGTATTTTCTGTAGAAAAAGTTTTGTTTCAAATTGCTGTGTTCATTAGATTGATGTGCTCAGACCATGGTTTATGGAGGCAACAACACAATTACTTCTAATTATACTAATGACTGCGTACATTTGCACTAAAAACATCATTTAAGCATTACTTTAAATGCTTATAATTTCCTCTAGGAACATATTTAAAAATATTACCACTTCTAATTTCATACACACACACACAGCTAGAACAGAACCTAGATATAATACAGACTTGTGAAGATGCAATTTCTGAGTCTTCTTTTTTGGCTGTGCTTTGACATTTTCTGCTCTTTTTGTCACATTTTGCTTTCTCGTATGCTTGACTGTTGATGGTGACTGTTCCTTAAAATAAAAGAGATGATGGTTTTATCTAGATGCCAAGTAGACCCACAACAATAGGTTTGATTTTGAAATGCTGGAAGAGAGCAAAGTGTCTGAACTGAAAATAGGAACTAGCTGTTATTTTTCTAATGCAACCCAGAAATTGAAAGCAGAATGCTGACCGATTGCTATGGACCAGTGCTTTTTAGCCACAGGTCCACGGGCTTCTGGTTGTTTGAAGATCAATCTCTCTTGAAACTCCCTGTTTATTACATTTGAAGTGCAAAAGATTTAAAGCACCAAAATGTCAGCATTGGTACATCCTAGAACAGGACTATGTTGTTTTACCACCAACAAGATAATTTAAAACATGTAGGGGTTTACATAGTATAAGGGAGGTTTAAGCATGGTTAGGCTTGAGTAACAAGTTAAAATCAAGGATTAGTTAAAAGTGAACCTGTGCTTTGCCCATGTAGGTATATATAACAAAAACAAAAAACAGGTTCACTTAACTGCTACATCGTCCTTCCTTTTGCTCCTGCCACTCAATTCAGCAGCTAGGAAGAAAGAATGGAAGTCCAGTATAAGCTCCAAACTTTAACTCTTTCCCTGCCCTCACATGACAGTGCTGGGTACCCAAGCAGTCCATCACTAAACACCAATGATGTCATAGGGGAGGACGTGGAGTGAAAATAATTTGAATTTTACAGCAACCCACCCGCAGGAAATTGCATAAAGAATATCACTGAGGAATGTGAGACTTTTATGCAATCAGCCCCATTTGTAGGTGTGAATGGGGCCTAACAGCTATTGAGATAACATTAGCCACACAAGGAATGCATTGTTTTCTGTTAGTTGATGGTGGTCAATGAGCAAATATGACTGTGCGCAGTTTAATATATAACTGCAAACTATACATAAAAATAAAATAAGAAAAACACAGAGTGATAACATTATTTATATTAAGTATTTTTTATTCCATTAATATCTAAAAATGCATGCTTGATTTGGGCCAGTAACTTAATAATGAGAAAAGCCTGGATAAGGATGAACACTTGTCAGCAATGGTAAGTCCCATTTTCTAGTCTGAGACGCTCCCTTTAAAGAAGCAATGTTTAAAAGCATTTTTATAAGCATACCTTCTGATACTCCACAAGGGTAGTTGTGTATCTTCTAAAAGAGTCATTTGGTGCTGGCACATCTGCTTCATCACTTTGTTTTTTTCCAAGAATTTTTTCGTTCCTCCTAAATAAGAGAGAAAAAGATTATATTGTAAAGCGCTGTGCAAACTATTGGCGCTATAATAATCCTGTATAATAATAAATCAACTTGCAAGATCATAATCTTGCACAATCTTGACAACGACATTATTGGATTAAGAGGCTCCCTTTTTGCACATAATGCAAAGATAATGCATTTCACAAGATAATAAGTAGGTTGCTGTAAGGTACTTACCAAGAGGCCAGTACGGGTACACACACGCAGCCCTATCCTCAGAATTATGGGCAGACATGATGTAGCCTGGGGTCGCGTGCATGGTGTTATCTGGACACGCACCCATGTGCGCAGAAATGTGCACGAAACTGTGTGCATAATTATTTGCAAACATAATGGGAATGTTGTGTGCAACTATTAGCATGCACACTTGCATGCATCAGTGGCGTCAGATGGCCTATCAGAATCAGTGTTCAGAGCACTGAGCGAGTTATTGACTGGTCTTCAGCTTTCCCTTGTTCCTGCGACTCCACCTTTGCATGATCCTGGCTGAGGACTTTGACTCTGCTTTTAGACTTCTGATTTGGTACTTCACTTGAGCTCCAGATTTACCCGTGTATGACTCTGGTCTGTGACCCCGATCCTGCTTCTGACCAGCGATTTGGTACCTCACCTGTGTATCTGATCCTTCTATAGATGACCTTACCTTGTGATCTTAACCCCCGATTACAAGCCCAACTCCACTCTGACCTTGCAACACGTGGTACTTCAAGTTCCCGCAACATCATTTTCTGTGGATGCATTACCCTGGTCAATGCACACAAACCGCAGACACTCGTGACTCCCTGAATACTACTCTTACATGTTACCATATCCAGGGGGAATCAAACTGCTGGTGCAAGAGGAGCTTCCTATTGAACTCAGGCTCTAATCGCCCAACTGGAAAAGTGAAGGCCTTGGCAGAATGTGCCAGAAGGCTACTACTCTTAGGAAGGACTTTTAGAAACTTTAACAAGGCTTACAGGTTCACTTTAAACATCCAAAATGTAATCATGTGTTCATTTGTATACGGTATTTTATATGGATGCCTTATCCCATAGTCATATAACTATGTTAATGTAAATGCGATAATATGCATTTGTGCACATTTCAATAGTTTTCCAAATAAAGAGTGGCAGAGCTTGTAATCACTAAAAAGAAACATGAATGCTTCTGGCCAGATAGTTCAAACCCGCCTACAGTCTAACCAGTAGCATCCTGCAAACTCAGTTACTCACAGTTAGGATGGTACGCAATATATATTGTAATAGATGGTGCATTATGCATCCCAATCATAGAGAAAGGAGGCTATGATGAATAGTCTCCTTCTTACAAGCGCTTGCCTTAAATTGTCTGTCTACATTTTAATTTACTATTTACAGAATTTGAACACCTGGGGCCCCACTTTCATTTTTGCTTAGGACCCAATTTGCATTGATACCAGTTCTGACTTGGCTGATATAGTGCACTCCAGCACAGGAGAGGGACAAGTGGTATGCTATCAGTGAAAAATTAAGTCAGACAAAGACAGTCTTTAAGCTGTTGTAGAACTATGATTGCCAGCAGAACTATTTCCTCATCTGATCTTAATTAACAACCTTTCTGCATGATCCCTGTCTATCCACCTTGTTTTGCCCCTCCATACTGGGAGTCCTCTGCGTAGATGACCGGGTAAGATTTGAGTGTCAAATATTCATTCCATTAGCCAGAATTAGAAAAGTAAAAAGGATATTCATATCATCTTTTACTTCAAAGAGTAATGTACATCTGAGATATTAGCATGGCACGGTTCTCTTACAACATGCTGGTGATTTCTTATATTGGGCATGAAGAAACTGTGACATGCCTCTGCCTACATCTCAATATTTTACCATGCCTATTATGAGTTAGCCCCTGCTTTTTTAGCCATGCACAATTTGCAGTACAGTATGATTAAGGGCCATTTATCTTCTTTTGTTATTACCACAAAAAAGCAAGTCAATTTGCTTAATATGGTTTTTTATTTTTTAATCTGAATGATCGTCTTGTAATATTCATTATTTTCTTAATCTAAAATCCAGGCAAGCCATTAAATGCACATTCAAAATATATATACAGGAGAATGTTTTGCATGTCAAAAAAACTATATTTCTCTCCATTCAGTCTTGAGATTTACACAGCCCCGCTAGAGGGTACAGCCAGCTTGGAGACCTGAATTTTCGCTGCTGTAATTAGGAAAAAAAGAATTGTCACCTCCTAGACCCCAGCTGGTGACTGGACCCATTCACACCATGTTATGTGCAATGGTGCACTGCAATACCCATTCATTGTGAATCACGCCTGGATGCACCTTCAAAACACACATGTGCTGCGATGCACCACAGTTGAAAAAAATATGAACTGTCCCAGATTGTCGGCCATTGAGAAGCGTTTCAGCCTATCTAGTGGCCGTTCCCCACTCTGTCACCCTACTCCCTTATCCTATCAGCATGTTTTTTTGTCAGCTCATTTGCATGCAGCACACCTTGTTGGCTTCTAGTGCTGCCCTTCCCTCTCCAAATCTGTGCTCCTCTGTAGAGAGGATTACAAGAGGCTGCTTCCATGCTGAATTTAGTACTTTTACTAGCTGCATTTAAAAATGTGACAATTTTCATCTGCCTTGAGTTATGCTTTAATTAATATGGGAAGCTGAGATATTTGAGGTTGTAGTAATTCAGTTAGTAGAAAAAAAGCAGATACCTGTGGATCATGTGAATCAAATATTTAAAGGAATTATCTGATGTACCTTGTATGTTTTATATTGATGCCATCGCTGGAGTATGCAACTCAGAATTGTAGCACACATCAGCTGCAACTGGGAGATGTAAACTAGTGGGTTGATGGACCCATCCATTGTACTTGATTCCCAAGACAAAAGTTCACAGTCCTCCTCTACTATCTGCTGGGATGTACTTTAAGCATTTTAGAACTCTTCAACTAACAAGGAATGGAAACAAAAGTACTAATGTCTACTATGAGCTTTTGAGGGAGGATTTAAATTGTAATTTGGGATTGAAGTGGGATTTGAAAGCACTGGAGGATGAAAGGTCATCTTTGGTAACAACACCAACCTCTGATTCCGTACTATTATTCCTGGCGAGGTTAAAACATTAAAAGGAGCCTACTGAATGGCTGCCATAAGTCACATTTAGTTCCTTTGACTTTCATAAATCAGAGCCATTACCTATTAAAACTAAGTAGTTTTCTAAAACTGTAGAAGTCTTCATGGGATATACCCCCTGTGGCACATGGGGTGGCAAAAACACATCGGGGCTACTTTTAAACCATAAAGAGCTCAATTGTGTCATCTTGACCCTTCATAAAAATCTCACTGATATCCAGAACTTGGCTTTAGTTTGCTACTATTTCACCGAATAAAAATAGAATTACATTACAAATTAATACCCTGCAATACTTGTGCAGGTAGAAACAAAATCAATAAGCAGGTGGTTGTCAACATTTCACTCTCTTTGTACTGGTGTGAGATGACAGTTTATTGATTCAAATCTATTTTGCTACTTCAATTTAGAAATCAATTTCACAAAGTGAAAGCAAGGCCCATAACCATATGAAACTTTCTTTCTATATAAGTGCATATGATAAAAAATATTCTGTATTGTAATCATTTAATGTTATACTGTAAATTGCTTACAGATTGTTTTACTTTGCCATATTAATATACAGAACATAGTATATTCATTTCTTAGTTTACGGAGTTTTAAGTTAACACCTTGCCCTACAAAAATAGTGCTGTTTAGACAGTAATTAATATTTCAGATGTGCTTTTAACACAAAAGGAGTTTTGATACCATTTCCTCAATGGTGTAGTGCATTGTTAACAAAAATAAATAAATGCATACACACTTATGAAAGAAAAAAATGTGCAATTATTTTTTTATTTTTTTTGCATTTGAGCCTGCAAAGCACTGCAACAATGACCAGTGGCATCTCATTCCCAGTCCCAACTGCCACCACTGCACAGCTCCAGGAATTGGGTTTCATGTGGACATTGGTAAGGCACAGTGACTTTAAAATAGTGTAAAATGATTTTAAATAGTGCTGTACTAGCCAGAGGCAAAATTAAAAGGCAGGACATGCATATAATGAGCATAACTGGAAACCTTCCAAAGCTGGGGAGCCTGAGATTGGGGCAGAGCAAGGGGCAGGGACAATAGTCCAATGCTGAAATGGAAGCAATTGATTGAAAGCGGCACACAAAAGGGGTGTATTTATAAACAATTCAGTCAGTCGTACTGTGAAATTGCACGTATGTTTGTTCTGTGCGCATAGCGGTCAAATGTAATATTAGTAAATACCACATTATGGCCACTAGCTGGAGCTGAGGAGCACAGGAAATAAATACATATTTCCTATGTTCCTCGTCTCCATCTAGTGGCCATAATGTGTTGTTTTTTTTTTACCGATATCACATTCACTAATACCGTGTTTCCCCGAAAATAAGACAGTGTCTTATTTTATTTATAATAAAGGTGTGGATTATCCTTTAACATTACAGTCTTTTATGGTAGCAATCTTTTTTGGGTGCTTCATGGTGGTTTTGAAATTAAACACAAAATTCTAATAATATATTTCAGAATTAATATATTTCCATAATGTGAAAATCTAGTGCACACCACCCACAAATTAAATTAATTTACCATACATTTTTTGTAGACCTACCTGGGAGTGCATAATAAACATATTTATTTAAGCTAATCAGATGTAAATGGACATGTGTTTGTTTACATGACATTAACCCCGATCCGGCATGATCAGGTCTGGTGAAACAGATCTTAACCTTTTTGACAATAGTATAGATCAGTGGTTCTCAACCTGTGTAACCTCAGAATCCAGATTTGTCCTTGGTCATTAAGTCACAAACCAAGTTGCACTGCAGTGGAATGTATGGCATTGCAGTATCGTGCATTCGGTTCAGGCGATTGGACTGTGGGTGGGAGGTGCGTTTGGGGTGTCATTCAGAATAAAGGCAACACAATGCACCTTCCACACCATTACACCCAGTAGGTTGCGTGGTACAGTGCATTAGTGGTAATCGCATGGGACTGTTCGATTAACGCACTGTACTAGTGTGAACAGACAATCAAAAGCACTGGCAGACTCACAACCACAGATCTCACACACTCACAGATATTCTCACACACATATACACACCCCAAAACATATTTTTTTTATGATCCACCCAGTTTCCCTACTTTATGAGAACTGGAGCCGATCCTCAGCCTGGGGTCCAGTGTGGGCTGCTGTGCTGTGACGGAGCTCCATCCATATGTGCATTGCTTGTACAGCTCCCTTGCATGCCCTGCAGAGGTGCCGGGAGCCAGAATGTGATGTCAGTCCAGTCCCGACACCTCTATAGGGCACATGTGGGAGCTGTAAGCAATGCGTGTATGAAAGGAGCTCCCTCGTGGCCATACTTCTAGGCCACCCCACCTCAAGGTGACACTCTGCGCCGGGAAGCATAGTTTGAATGGTTGCTTGGCATGAGAACTGACAGTGCTGCACTAGGGGGAGGCTGAGTAGTTTATCACCTAGACAAGTGGAAGGCATGTGGTGACCCACTGAACATGTCACGACCCACCAGTTGAGAACCAGGGGTATAGATGTATGGTTATTCCAAGCAGGTTTAAATATACTTACTGTTTACTGACTCACTAGTTCTTCTAAAAGTCTGTTCCAAGCATTAACTGCTCTTTTGGTAAAATTATACTTTCTAAGGTTAGTTTTAAACTTTCCTTCTGCTAGTTTGAGGTCAGGTCCCCATGTTCTTGAACTTTGCTTCATGTTTAAAATACTTCCTTTCTGAGTCTTACTGTATTTAGAGATTTCAGTCCTGTCCTGCCTTTCAGATCTTTCCTCAAAACTCTACATATGAAACTCTTAAAGTCTCTTCTGATATGTTTTATCAGACCTTTCCCAATTTTTATTGCCCATATCTGGACTTGTTCTCTCTTACAAAAATCTTTTGTAAGTGAGGTCTCTGGTACTGAACACAGAATGCTAAATGAGGTCTAACTAAAGAACTACTGTATATAGGGGAATCGTGACCTCCTTCCTCTTGTTGGGTGTCCCCCTAGTAATGCACTCCCAAATTATCTGAAATAAGCACCCCCAAACCTTTTCCCTCTGTAGTTCTTGACAAAACTGTTCCCCCCAATGTTGTACTCTTATCAGGGGATTATTTTTCCCTAGGTGAAATATTGTGCATTTAAAAACACATTTCTTCCCCCCCCCCCCCCCCCCCCCCCCGCCCCAAACGGGTACGTGAT